TTCCCACTCTATCTGAAGAAAAATGGAAAAGTATCCTCAGGTGAGGATTTATAAAAAGAAACAAAAAAACAGTTTTATAACTTTACAGTAGTCCAGCATAATTTTTTTTTCTTCATATTCTGTGATTTTTGTGTCTTAGTTTGGCAGATTTGTCTCTCTCAAGGTCATAAAGAGATTCCTCTTTCATAGTCTTTTATCCATTTGGAATTAATTTATAGCTTTTGAGATAAGCATTCAATTTCATTGTTTTCCTCACGAATACCTGTTTGTTTCAGAATTATTATTATTATTTTTTTTTATCCTCACCCAAGGACATTTTTGCATTTATCTTCAGATAGAGGAGGAAGAGGGAGAGAAACATCGATGTGAGAGAAACACACATCAACTCATTGCCACCCACACTACCCCATCCAGGGCCAGGGACAAACTGCAACCAAGGCACATAACGTGTAATGGGAACTGAACCCGGGACTCTGGTCCGCAGGCCAATGCTCTAACCACTGAGCAAAAGTGGCCAGGGCTGTTTCAGCATTATTCATTGCATAATCTCATCTTTCTCACCGATCTTTCAGTGATATCTCTGTCATCTCAGTTTTTCATATGTATGACCATTTCATATGTATGACCTCATTGTCTAGATTACTATGATGTTGTAAGAAATCTTGATATATGGTTGGGCAGGACCCTATCCTCACCTCATATTGTTGTTTATCATAATCTTTTGGCTGCTCTTGAGCTTTAGTCCTCCATATAAAATTTAAGATTTTAGCTTGTCAGGTATCAGGAAAAGCCCTCTTGGAATTTTTATTACAATTACACTGGATTTATAAATAAATCTGAGGGAGAATTCAGTCTCCCTTTCCATGAACAATATTTCCTTCCATTTCTTTAGGTCTTCTTGTATTTCTTTGAATAAGGCCTGACAGTTTTCTTCCTAAAAAGTTTTAATACAAATTTTTGTTAGATGTATTTCTGGAATATTGTTGTTTTTGTTCCTCTGATAAATATCTGTTTAAAATTATATTTTCTTTTTTTTTTTTTTTTTTTTTTTTTGGTACATGCCTCTAGCCACTAGCGTCTAGCGGGAACCAAACCTGGGACTTTCTGGTCTGCAGGCTGACACTCCAACTGCTGAGCCAAACTGGCCAGGGCTTTCTAATTCTTTTATGCTGACATAAAGAGTACACTTGTATATTCATGTCATATCCAGCAGCCTTTTCAAAATTTACTCTAAAAATTTTTAGATTCTCTGGGCTTTTCTATTTTAGATAATCATCTATAAATAATGACAAATGTTTTGTTTCTGAGAGTTCAGTACTTACGCTTTGTATATATTTTTTCATGTCTATTAACCTTATTAATGTTGGTTGTAATGGTAGTGATATGCTTGTCTTGTCCCTGGCTTGAAAGGGTTAACTCCTAGTATTTCACCATTGGACACATTGTTGGCTGGGTTTCTGGCATATAATGTCTATCAGGTTGAGGAAGCTTCCTTCTATAGTGTTGTTGCCATATACAGATGATTAATTTTACCTAACGCTTTTTCTACAGCTACTAAAATGATCACAGTTCTCCCTAGAGATGTGGTGAATTAGTTGATTGGTATTCATATGTTGAACTAACACTGCATTTAATAAACCCAGTTTGATTATGGTGCATTCTATTTTATACTGTCTGGATTTGGTTTGCTAGGATTTTGTTTAGAAATTCTGCTTCTGGTTGCATGAGTGAGATCAGACTTAATTTTCCTTTGTTGTATGTTATTGAGAGGTTTACGTATCTAAGTTATATGAGCTTTGTGGAATGAGTATTTCGTTTCGTGGACTTTTCCATAATTTAACTAATCCTTTTGAATGGGTATTTAGGTTGTTTCCAGTGTTTTGCTATTATAAGAAATGCCGTATTGCAAATATTTGCACATTTCATTAAGAAGGACAAATGTATACTTAGAGGTTAAATATATAGAAGTGGAATTGCTTGGTCAAAGGGCATCTAGAATTTTAACTTTTATAAATACTGCGTTATTGAACTTGGAAAAGGTTGACAGTTTATAATCTTACCGGCAGTGTATGAGTATGTGTTACCCCATGTTTCATTGATGGATTTAGATAAGCACTTTAAGCAAAAGAAGAAAACAAAACAGAACACACATTTCCCTCCTGCAACATGTGTCTTCTGCTTCACAGCCAAATTATTTCTTGAAAGAGTGCTACGAAAATTCAGTTCATCTCCCACACACTCATGAACTAGTCTGGATTCTACACCTACCAGTCTACTGAAACTGTCCTGCTAAGGCAATTAATAGCCTTCTTCTAAAGTCCAATGGACTTGTCCCATTAATTTTTTATTTTTATTCTTATTGGACTCTATCATTCTGAGATATTCCCTCTGGAATTTTGTGATGTTTTGCTCTCTTGTGATTTTTTCCCTACTTCTGTTACTCCTCATTCTCATTCTCCATTGTGGTTTCAAATTCTGCTTGTCCTTTACATGTTTTGTGTTCTTCACATTTCTGTAATTATCCCTGATCTTGCTCTGTATATTTAAGTGATGTCATCTGTAGTCATGGCTTCACCCATCTATGGGTGAAGTCATCTATGTAATGAAGACTCCCAACTTTTTACCCTTAGCCTAGCTCTCACAACTGAGCTTTAGACCTGAATATCTACTCCACTGACATACTGAATATTGTCTACATGGTTCACTCATCAGTTCCCTCACTCAGCATTTTAATAACTAAGCTCATCATTTTCTTCCTCAACTCTACTTTGACTTCATTCCTTGGCACCACTATTTACCCAAGTCAGAAGAGTGTATATGTGTCCTTGTCTGTTCCTTTTCTTTCTGTAGCCAGTCTGTTGATTTTCTTATTCTGAATCTTTGTTTTTCTTTTTACTCCAATCCCATTTGTCACCTAAAAGGAAACTTGTTTTCTCTACTCATAACATTTCTGACACCAAATGTTTGGGGATTGTTCCCACACCAAACAATTCTCCAACTCTCTGGACACCAACTGGGTATCTTGCAATTCAATTCTGACACTAACTACCTGTAGTTAGTGCCAACCCTATAGGTTAAAGGCTCAGTCATTCCCACAAGAATATACCACAACTTCAGACACCAGTTGTAAGTCCCAGGTTGTCACCTGTACTCTGACCAACCAGCTATAAATTGGTTTCTACAACCCCCTTTTCAGGTTTGATAATTTGCTTTAACAGCTCTAAGAACTTAGGGAAACACTTAAGTTTATTAGTTTATTATAAATAATAAATAATAATAAATGTGAAGAGTTACATGGACAGGAGTCTTCTGGGAGTGTCCTGAGCACAGGAGCTTCTGTCCCTGTGGAGTTGGGATGCACCACCTTCCTAGCACATGGATGTGTTGGCCAACCTGGAAGCTCTCCAAAACCTGTAGTTTAGAGATTTTTTTAATGGAGGCTTTATCACTAGGCATGATCAGTTATTAACTCAATTTCCACCTACTCTTTCCTCCCTGGAGGATGAGGAAGTGGAGCTGAAAGGTTTAAGCTTCTAATCATGGCTTAGTCTTTCTGGTGACCACCCCCATCCTGAAGCTATCCAGGGGCCCACCAAGAGTAGCCTCATTAGAACAAAAACCATTCCTGATCCCCAGGAAATTCTAAGGGATGTAGAAGCTCTGTGTAAGGCACTCCTATCACCTCCATTGCTCAGGAAATTACAAGAGTTTTAAGAGCTAAGTCATGAACCAGGGACAGAGACCAAATATATATTTCTTATCATGATGCCCACCACTCTAGTTCAAGCTACTATAATCTTTTGCCTGGATCACTATAGCAGCCTTCACCCCTCAAAACCTTCTTGCTGGAGTCATAGGTGTTTTTCTAAAATATTAGATCATATCACTCCTCAGCACCTAGCACAGTATCTTAGATACTCAGTGAATATTTGCTGACTAAAAGGATGAATAAGATTTTTTTTTTAGGCCTTGGAAATTAATCATAGATTTTAAAGTAAAAACACAGATTGTATTTCTTTTTTTTTAATCCTTTTTTGTTATTTTTAGATTGTATTTCTTTTTTTTTTTTTTTTTTTTTTTTATCATCACCCGAGGACATTTTTCCATTTTTTGTTCAGGTAGAGTGGGAGGGAGAGAGAGGAACAGAGAGAGAGAAACATCGATGTGAAGGGACACATCGAGTGGTTGCCACCCGCACAACTGACCAGGGCCGGGGACAAACTGCAACCGAGGTACACGCCCTTAGCGGGAACCGAACCCGGGTCTCTCAGGACCGCAGGCTGACGCTCTAACCGCTGAGCCAAACCGGCCAGGGCGATTGTATTTCTTAAATTAATCTTTATAGTTCTTTCATGCACTTGCCTTTATAACAGTGTAGAGTTTTGAGAAATACTTTATTATTAGATCAGTATCTGCTTCATTGTAAAGACAGAATTTTATTTTTTTTATTTTTTATCCTCACCCAAGGACATTTTTCCATTTTTTGTTCAGATAGAGCGGGAGGGAGAGAGAGGAAGAGAGAGAGAGAGAGAAACATCGATGTGAAGGGACACATCGAGTGGCTGCCACCCTCATGACCAACCAGGGCTGGGGACCGAACCCGGGTCTCTCTGTACCGCAGGCCAGCGCTCCAACCGCTGAGCCAAACTGGCCAGGGCCAGAATTTTATTTTTAAAATAGGCACTTCTTAGAAATTTATGGTCTAGTAGAGCATGGGCTATTGAATGTGAGGATTTGACTCAAAGCTCAGCCACTTTAATATTTTTTTAGCCTTAAGTTGTTAACACTTTGAGTTTTATCATCTGAAAAGTGGACATACTATCTTACCTTGTAGTACTGTTGAGGATTGAGTAGGTATTCTATGTGAATATGCTTGGTACATAATAGGAATTCAATTAATTTTAAAGCTATAATATAATGCTATAAATATCATACTGTACTATAATTTTACATTTTACATTACATACTATAATTTTAACTTCAACATTTTTGTCTTACAGATAGTGTGTGTACCCTATCAGTGGCGTATAACTATGCTCATCATTGTTCTTGTAAATGCCCTTGTGTCTGTCATGGTGGAGGTAAGCACTTCAGATCATCAAATGGCTACCTTGCTGCTTTGGGATTCTTGGTGATTTAATGGTAATGGGGGAAGAGGACAAGTAGCAGTATAGAAGCCCACAAAGTTTCAGTTTTATTTTAGTTAAATTTATTTAGCCTTTTCTTTGACATTTTTCATTAACTGGTAGTAATCATATTAAGAGATATTACTTAGCTGCACTCATACAGATAGGAGAAAATAGCAATGAGATAACAAAAATTAGTGATTGATAGAAAGGAGAGAAGATTGATGCTCAGAATTGTTTGGAGGAAGGTAGGAGATACATCAATAAAGAGGGCACCACCAAGCTGGGGGTGGTGGGGAGTAGAGATTGGTGCTCAGGTGGCCTATAAACTGGGTGGCCAAGACATCACAGTGGGCTGGTACCACTGAGTCCTGTGATATATGGTAAAATCTCCCAATTAAGGAAGAAAAGGGAGGGGGCTTTCTCTATGAAATATTACTAATAGAGTTTATTGAGAGTCTAAAATAATGTCCATTATGAATTTACCCAATTTCAGCATTGATTACTGGAATTTCCTCCTTGATAATTTGCTTTTAAGTTCCCAGGTCTTAAGTACTCTTTGATCCATTGTACATTGTACAATTACTTTCCTATTAGGATTGCCTTTAGATCCGCTTCTATAAAAGAAGCTACTGGTTCTCATTTGCTACTTATAGTATAATTTTGTCTGAACTATTATTATTCACTCCTACAGTAACAATATATAAAAGAGATAACAGTTAAGGGTTTTAAGTTAAGGGTTCTAAAAGGCATGATTTTAAATTAAAATTAGGTAATTTGTTAAATGTAGTGATAATAGTTCTAGACTTGGAAATTATGCTTAATTTGTTACCTTTCTAAAAGATGACTTGGTATTTAAATTTGGATCATCGTTGGCAGCATGGATATTATGGTACTGGTACTAATCTTTTTAAGTTGTCCAGTGGAATGAATTTTTGCTATTGTATGGACAATACAAAGCCCATACAAGGCATTGTATTTTAAAGTGTTTCTTTTTCTATGGGATAAGTTCATCTTTTCACTCAAATGTTTAAGATAAATTAAAAAAAAACACAGAATATTTTAGGGAATCCTTTCATAATCCCTTGTAGTTTGTTATTCTTGCTCACTATCAAAATAATTATTTAATTATAATAATTAAATAATCATAATTTAATTAAATAACTATTTGCTCTGATGTAATCATACTCATATATAGATATAGCTACATATAGATATAGAATTAATTTTATACAATGGAAACAACTCATTGTTAAGAAAATATTGGATTATAAGAATTATTTTAATATGGGAAAGACCCAGTTATTCATATAAAAGTAATATTTTGTGGAAAATTTAGAGGTCCCATTGTATCAAGAATTTTATGATGATTTATATTTGTGATAAAAGTCATGTTATTCTTTGTCCTTTTGCAATATTAACTGAAATTTCTACATAAAAATCAAATCATGTTTTTTTACTAATGATTGAGTATTGTGTGATCCTTTTTAAATGTACGCATTAATAAAGAATGACTTAGTCATTTTTAATTCTTAACTCACTGGAATATCTCTCAGAACTTCTGCCTTGACATGGTCCTTTGGAAAGTTGTGTTCAATCGAGACAGACAAGGAGAGTATCGCTTCACCACCACACAGCCAGCACAGGTTGGAAATCAGCGCTTGCTCTCAATTCTTCATGTCTACCTAGACTGTCAGTTGTGTACCCTGTGTTCTGTAGAGTGTTCTGTTATGTGTTGCTTTATCCTTTTTCCTTATGCCTGGCATTTTCATTTCTTATAAGGTGTCTTAGAAAATTCATGTGAAACCTGTTTCAGGCTTTTCAGGACTTCAGAAATTTCATAAGTCTCTTTTCCATTCCAATCCTTACCTTGTGTGTCTGTAAAGGTTTTGTCCTCAGTGGTGAGAGTTAACTTTTCCATTTCTGCCTGGCTTAAATGTTATGTTTTTGGTTTTCCTGAGTCCCATTAGACGCTAAATGAGATTTATGTAAACAAGGTTATGAAATGAGAATTATTTCTAAATGGATCAGAAGTCAAAGGTTAAAATTTCCAGCAATTATTTCTGATTTCTTGTTACTATGTTTTAATTTGGGGAAGCTTTTAGGTTTTCCTTAACATATGTCTCTCATCATTCAGGAAAATTTTCACACAGTGTACATCTTTATACAAAGCATGGCTTAGGATTTTTTACTTTTTGGACTCATGAAATAGCCTATTACTTGAAAGATATGCTAGCTCTGTGATAAAAAAAGAAGAGAATCAGATGAATAAAACCCATTTCCTGGTATTAGGGTATTGACATACAACTTTTCATAGAAAATATAGGTTAGTCTTATTTTTCAAATTGATGCCATTGAATTACATACAACTGTACAGCTTTTTGGGTATAGAGAACTTGATGCCACATCTCATTAGTTTGCCCATTTGTCAGTGGATGATGTGTTCTAAATCTTTTACTAAGGATTTCTAAACCTAAATCTTTTGCTCATCATGAGCCACACAAGGAAGCTTGTAGAGTTCAAAAGGATTCCTCAGCATTGCTGAGTTGGGTCTTTCACTTATTTTTTTTAACCTAAGAAGTAACTTCCGACCTTTATTAATTTAGCAGGCTTGATGCTCAGTGTCATATCACAAGATCTTTTTCTTTTTTTAAATCCTCACCCGAGGATATTTTCCATTTATCTTCAGATGTGGGTGGAGGGACATCTACGTGAGAGAGATACATCAATCGGTTGCCTCCTGCATGACCCCGACCAGGGCCTGGGCCAGAATTGCAACTGAGATATGTGCCCTTGAGCAGAATCAAACCAGAGAGTCTTTAGTCTGTGGGCTAACGCTTTAACTGCTGAGCCAAACTGGCCAAGGCTCACAAGATCCTTTTATAAGAGGTCCTGAAGAGTGCCATTTCCGTTTCTAATGCTTTATGATGAGTAGTGATAGTTTTGTAATGATGGGAGAAGTTTTTAATCAGCTTCAGTTACTTTTTCTCAAAGCAGTGTAATGCCCAGCTGTTTCTAGTAGTGGCTATGACCAAAGTTGTATTAGGTAGGGGCTCAAGTCCTTTAGCTAAATCTCTGTGTCTATATTTCTTTTGGTTACCTTACTACATTACTTCAGAGTGTTAACTTGGGCTCATATCATCAGTCCTCATATGAGATACTTGTATTGGTAAAGTTTAGGCCAAGGAAAAAAATTACATTGAGTGTTCAGCTTCTCCAGAGAAATCTCAGACTGTTGATCTAAACAGGAAGCAAATGCAGATTCTGAAGAACAGTTATGCTTTGATTTAGTCAGAATTGGGAATCAAAAGCTTATTTTAGCCCTGGCCGGTTTAGCTCAGCGGTTAGAGTCAGCCTGTGGTCCAGAGAGACCCGGGTTTGGTTCCCACTAAGGACGCGTACCTCGGTTGCAGTCTGTCCCCGGCCCTGGTTGGTCATGTGGGTGGCAGCCAATCGATGTGTCTCTTTCACGTCGATCTCTCTCTCTTTCTCTCTCTCTCTCTTCCTCCCACTCTATCTGAACAAAAAATGGAAAAATGTCCTCAGATGAGGATAAAAAACAAAACAAAAACTCATTTTAAACATTTGAATTGAAAATCACTCTTCACTTTTCAACTAAAATTAAATGGGAGAAAATTCTATCATTTGCTAAATCTATTTTTTTAAAGGAATGATTTTTTTTTCCTTTATTGATTTTAGAAAGAGAGAGAGAAAGAGAGAGAACATCGATTGGCTGCCTCCTGCATGCCCCCCACTGGGGATTTGGCCCACAACCTGGGCATGTGCCCTGACTGGGAATTGAACCAGTAACCTCTTGGTGTATGGGTCAACGCTCACCCACTGAGCCCCACCAGTTGGGTGCTAAATATTTTTTAAACATTTATTAATAAGGATCTTTTTTTTCCTTTTAATCCTCACCTGAGAATATTTTTCCATTTATCTTTAGACAGTGTGAGGGAGAGAGAGGAAGAGAGAGAGAAACATTGATATAAGAGAGACACATCGATTGGTTGCCTCCCACATGACCCCAACCAGGGCCATGGATTGAACCGCAACCAAAGCATGTGCCCTTGACCGGAATCAAACCCACGACTCTTTGGCCTGCAGGCCAATGCTCTAATCGCTGAGCCATACCTGCCAGGGCCTGTCCATATCTTTAAGAGTTTGTGTCTCTATGTGCAGTCCTGCCTCTGAAGTGTTTAGGGGAGAAAGTGAAGGTAGGGAGAGTGGTCTAGAGCCGGTGGCTTCAGCACATCCCGTGTGCTTACCAGTTCTGAGAATCACTGACTAGGCAAGATTTTAGTCTTCCTTTTCTATGGTCATGATTAAGAAAACAAGAGAGTTTTTATAATCCCTTAGCGCAGAATGATAGACTTTTGTCTTCTGACATTTATCTGTGTACTGTGGTGTAAACTGTTCATATTTGTGACCATTCAAGAGCCAGCTAGTCATATTACTGTAAGACTCTGGTTCTCAACCAAGGGCAACCCCCACTGCCACCCCAGGACATTTGACAGTTTGAGTCTGGGGGATGCTGCTAAATAAACATCCTACATTAGTAAGAAGGACAACCCATAATATCTAGTCTAAGATGCCAGTAGTGCCCAGGTTGAAAAACCCTGCCATAAAATGAAAAAGAAAGTAAAGATGAGGGTGGCCAGCTGTACCTAGGGCTCCTGGGCTGCCATAACTTTCCCTCATTACAACTCTTGTTGCACATTTGCCCATTCTGTGCGCTTTCTACCAAGAATCCCATGAGGTCTTCTCAGACTGCAACTCCCAACCTCCTGTATTAATGTTGGGGTAAGAAAATCTCTGTTTCTTCTTTTCCTTCCTTACCATATATCCAGTTACCACTGAGTTGGGTTAAAAGCTAGAGGCCCTGCGCTAGGCTTCAGGTCTTAGACAGTTGATTGGGAATTCAAGATCCTCATCTGAAAATCTCTAGTAACCATGTCCAAAATGTCTGGTGATCTACAAGGTGCTACACACTTCCAGGATCCTTCCAATTTTAAGGCATTTCTAACTTCATTTTATACATGGAGAAATAGCATTCAGTCCACTTGCCAAGATTTTGCATCTAATGAATGGTGGAATTGGGAGTTGAAGCCAGGGATTCTGATTTCAAGAGGAGTGTTTTCCTACTGTGCCACATTGGCTCACATATATGGGATCATACAGGTGTAAGTTAATATAACAGTCACCTGACAAAATGGACACAAACAGTAGCTACTGTTCTTAATACCTACTTTTTATGGTAGGCACCATATAAGGCATTTTGTAAAAATTCTAATTTTACAACAACCTTGAGATACATGAATGTCTTTAGTTTCTCTTTCCCAATTTCCACAGATGAGGAAACAGTGTTAGAACTGGAATTCAGATTCAGATTTATCTGGACCCAGGTCCATAATATTTCTATACCAGAAAGCTTCTGTCTGTTCTTTAAAGACAAAATAAACTTGTAAGTATCATTTTTTATTTAATAGTAGATATTTTAGATATTGTGTTCTACTTGGCCTACTGAATATTCAAACAACTAACCTAATTTAGATACAGGAAGGATTTTTACATAATACTAATTTATTTCCCATAGTGATTGTTTTTCTTATGGATGCTCAGTGGCCTGAATCAAATTGAAAACCGGTTAAGTAAACCACATGCAAATAATCAAAATTAAAACATTTGTATAGCTAAATGCCCCCCCCCCCAGATGTTAATACTTATTCTCTGACCAAAAAAAAAAAAAATCTTGACAAATTAGTGACTTTCAAGCAAAAATATTCTTCAAAAATGCCTTTGAACTTCACCCTTGACTTACTGAATGAAACATTTCCAGTTAGGGTTCCATCATCTCTGCACGGCTTTACCCTGTCTGAGAAGACCTGTGCTGCATGTTCTCTTACTGAGAAACGTTGGTGTCTGTCCTCTGTCTGGTAAAACGAGGCTGCCTGGTGTAGATGTGGAACTAGGGTTGAGTGGTTTGATCCTGCCTGAGGATTTGTGCCTGATTATATTTTCCTTTTTGGGGGAAAATCCAAGTGTTAGCTGTAGTCTTTGTGCCACTTAGAATATTGTTTGTGCTTATTTAGATAGACTGCTAATTCTGATTGTCTTTATTTACTTTATATTCGGGATTGGTATGGAAGAAGACTTTTATGAAAACCATAGTACTATTATAAGCATGGCTTTATATTTTACATGCTACCCATGAAAACATTTCCTAAAAGACACTGCAACAATTAAACTGGCATTGGGGTTTTGGAATGAACAGTTTGTAATGGTCTAAGAAGCAGGAGAATTTTAGCTGTAGATCTTTTTGAAAGTTCTTTATGGTTTTTCTGTTGGTTTGCAGTAGCTTCTTTCCTTTTTCTGAGGGATACACTTGGTTATTTAACTGGGTTTCCTTTCAGGAGCAAACCAGAGCTCCAGTTACTGTGGCTCCTGTGTTCTCCTGCTTCAGAGACTTGTGCCTAGACATTCGGGGAAACCCGAGTGCTCCTTCTGAGTCCTGTGCCGCTCCCCTCTGCGCTCCTTGTTGCACAGTGCTTGCCCTTCTCGCCACCATCTTCTCTCCCTGACCGAGTTCTCATTCCAGCATGCCTGTGACGCCTGTTATGTTCCCTTCCAGTGAATTATATTGTTTGAAGTTGTTTGTATATGTTTGTGCTTGTACACTGATAAATCTATGTTTACTTATAATGTAATTTTTGTGTATGGTGTGGGGGAGGTGAGGGCACAGGAACAAAATAATGTGTCTAATTACACTGGAGTATGCTATCCCTCATGTTTCTTGTGACTTTATGTTTTTCTGAATTATAACAAGTGTACCTTGCTTTTAATAGGGACTTGAGGATTTTTTAAAACATGCACATTATTGTAAAAAGAAGACTATTCAGCCCTGGCCAGGTGGCTCAGTTGGTTGGAGCATTTTCCCCATACACTGAAAGGTTGTGGGTTTGATTCCTGGGTGCGGGGGGGTGGTGCATACAGGAGGCAACCGATCGATGTATTGATGTTTCTCTTTCTCTCCGTTAAAAATTAAAATATATATATAATATATATTATATATATAATATATGTGTGTTTGTGTATATAATATATATATATTTATATATATAAAACACACACATATATATTACACACACACACACACACACATATATATCTCCTTGATTGGGGATTTAAAAAAGAATACTGTTCAATAGTGATTCTGTTGGCATTGACATTGGTTTTAATTTTATTGCTTGCCTCACTCTCCACAGGTCGGGAACAGATTTAGATAGAGATGTATGTGTGTCTTCCATTTGAATACATTTGGCTGTGACTTTCTTTAACTTAGCCTGCTCTGCAGTACCCTTTAACCCTGCCTCTCATCTGGACAGGCAACGCCTATATGTTTCTGGGTTTTTTGTTTTGTTTTTTCTTAAAAATCACCATTCACCATTAACCTTTTCCTATGATCCTTAACAGTGCTACATGCCATAAAATAAACAGCGACAGCTTTCAGATTGATTTAGGAACAATGATCTTTTCCGCAACTAACTTGAAGACTTTAAACACCTCAGGGGTAGAGATAGATCTAAGTGGTGAGCTCTCACCTCAGGTTACATGTTCAGGTTTGTTGTGCATGAGCCAACCCTGGAAAGGAATTGTTGGTCATGTGGATCACCCGAAGGACCCTCTGTCTAGTCCAGCAGTTCTCAGCCTGTGGGTTGCGACCCCTTTGTGGGTTAAATGACCCTTTCACAGGGGTCACCTAAGACCATCGGAAAATACATATTTCTGATAGCGATTCATAACAGTAGCAAAATTACAGTTATGAAGTAGGAACAAAAATAATTTTATGGTTGGGGGTCACCACAACATGAGGAACTGTATTAAAGGGTCGCGGCATCAGGAAGGTTGAGAACCACGGCTCTAGTCTCTTCTCTATCTTTTGTTGATGTTATTAATCCTCACCTGAGGATATTTTTCCATTAATTTTTAACGAGGGAGGGAGAGAGGAAGAGAGAAAGAAACATCCATGTGAGAGACACATTGATTGTTTACCTCCCACATGGCCCTGACCAGAGCCAGGGATCAAACCTACAACCTACGTGCCCTTGACTGGAATCAAGCCCATGACCCTTTGGTCTGAGGGCCAATGCTTTAACCATTGAGCCAAACCAGCCAGGGCTCTTCTGTATTTTATGCAAACTGTTTTCTTGTGGGCTTTTAAGGTGATGGTAATAACTTTCTTTTTAGCTAGATGGCTAATCGTCAAATCTGTACTTCCCCTTTCCCCCAGAATTGTAAAGTGACCTTACTCATGACCACAGTTTCTGCCTATAAATTCTTGGTAGCAGTACAGCTTACTGTGTTTTGTTGACAAAGTAAACAGACCTTAAAAAGCACTCAGTTATTTTGTATAATGGTCTTAATGCTGCTGCATATCCACACCACAGTTTTGGAGAAGGAAAGAGCGGTGGTTTTATTGGTGGTTGTCTCAATAAAATGAGAAGACCTAACAAGTCCAAATATGGAAAAATATAAAAAGAGTTTTCATTTTAAAATATTTTGCTGTTCTCCATTGGCAAATTTGGAAACATGTTTCAGAACACACATGTTAGAGCAAATCTGCTTTTCTTGATGGTGAAGCTATTTTGGATGTTAAGATTAGAACGCTCCTCTTAGTTATGCTTCCATTTTGTGAGTTTACTTCAGTTGACAGTAGACCTAGTTGTAGCCTGGGTTTATGTTGACAACATAGTAAACTTAAATTTTGTTTTGGAAAAGCAACAGCCAAAATAATTAAAAATTGACTATTCTTTAGAGGTGAATATAAGTACAAGTCTCTGTATAGTTGTTTAGTTTTACTTTATTTTTTTAATCACAAATTTCAGTTAAGATAAATTTGAGAGCCTCTATTGAATTTCTATTTCTGTACAATAACAAAGGAATATGCTTTCTTTTTCTTCAAGAATTATTTCTCTAAGATTAGTCATTAAAAACATCAGGATTGAGCAGAAGGATTTCAATGACAGCAGAGCTTTTTATAATGAAATAATACTAAAAAATAGTACTTGCTTTATAGCCTTGCATGTACCTCTTTCCAGAGGTGGAATACCAAAGGAAACCATCATTATAAAATAAAATTGCTTTTATATTAATGGAAATGTGGTTTTAAAAGAAATAATTGATGTTAAACATGATCCAAGTTCTAATTTTGACCTAACAATATTTTCATAATGTTTTGTTTTGAAAGGTAATATTAACAGTAACAATGATATTTTTATACTCCTTCCAAAAATGATCAGGTAGCTAAGTTGTTAGGAATAATAGTACCAAAGGATAGTATGGGATAGAATATGAAGGTTTCCATATTAAATATTTAAAATATTTTCTCTTCCTGAACAATTTAAAGCTATTTTTAATGCATTCAATGTTTTGTGTTATCCAGATCTGCAAGTTATTTTTAAAATGTATCCATACACAAGAGGATAGGTATATAAAACTAAAGAAATTACGTTGATAACTAAAACAATCTAATCTTAAAAATGTTCCTAAATAATTGAAAGCTGACTTTTTTATGTGGATTTAAAAAAAATTTGTGCTCAGAAGTCCTTTCCTCTTATTTTTTCATGTTGAAGTACTCTGCTTTAAGAAACTTTTTAAAAACAATTAGTCTTTAATCTACTAGGGTGTTCTTTTTCCTTATTTCCTTAGGAGTCAGTGGATCATTGGGGGAAATGCTGCTTGTCCTGGATCCTGGACTGTAGAAAGAAGATACCGAAAGCAAAATACATGTATCTGGCTCAGGAGCTCCTGATTGATCCGGAATGGCCACCAAAACCTCAGACAACAACAGAAGCTAAAGCTTTAGTTAAGGAAAATGGATCATGTCAGATCATCACCATAACATAGCAGCACATCAGTCTTGGTGGTATGCTAGTAGCAGTATTGAACAGTATGCAATTTAGGACTTTCTGATCCTGTGTGTCAGAATGGCATTATTTCTGTTTGTGTTCCTTCTAATATAGTAGCTGATTTGAGAGCTTTTTTTTAAAACAAAACAAATAAAAGATTGGCCTGCCAGTTAAATTAATAATCAATCTATGAAGTCCTCTTTCTTCATTCAGTAGCTCTGAATATAATATTTCCATAATTTTCTTGATTGTTACCTTCAGTGATACTGTTTTATTACAGGATATAGAAGAAAGTTGGTATTTGGTAGGGTTTTAGACATTAGCTTTTAAGACTTAGTTTATACCTTTAAATTTATTTTCATGACTCCTCTTAGAAAAACTCCTCATTTATATACAGGCCCTAAATTTATGACTGAGAAATAAAATGAGTGTTAGCCTCTAGTGAAAATAGGTAAAAAAACCCTGTTTTCATTTGATTCCAACATTTCTTCCAAAGAATTCTATATATATATACACCAGATTCCTTTGATAGCCAGAGTTGGGAGTGAGTTGCATGGTGTTGCTTATAGAACAACTCAGGTAATTTCCACTTATGGTTTTTTATCTTCTGTACAAACCGCCTGGGTTTTATTTTTCTAATCAGCAAGGTGCTTCACTGCCTTCTTGAGACGTCCCTCAAAACTATTAATGTACCTTGTGCTGTCTGGTGTCAGTAGTATATTTGCTTCAGTTATATGTTGTAAAACCTTTTTCACTAGGAAGAAAGATTATTTCTTTTGGTAATAGATGTGGATCTATCTTTCTAATGCCTCTTCATACCTGTTTTTTTTTTTCTCTCTCTCAGGTTTTATTATTATTTTAAATCTTTTTATTTTCTACTTTTTAATTACCTACAGACATTGGATGATAGTGAGTTAGTTTTTTTAAAAAAAATTTGTTAGACTTTTGCCTACTAAAAATTTTAAGATTTGATGTTTGTCTATCCTATCGATAATGAGGGTTTAAAAATAGTTTAGAACCACTGCTCTTGCTTTTGCAGTATGAACTTGGTGAGAGTTTGTTTTATGCCATTAGGTGGCGCCAGAGGTCAGAGTACCTATTTTGGATTGGATGTTTATAAATGAGTAATATTTTTTGGTTGTGGAACTTTCTGGGAGAAAAGAAAAATAGAAATAAAGTTAAAGAATAGACATTCATTGAACTAAAAGACATGTGGATAATATTTTTCACCTTTGTTTAACCTAGTTAATATTTAAATTCTAAACAAAATAAAAGTAACTTTAAAAATGCCTTTATAAGTAAGATCCAGCAGTTTGACAAAGCCCACAATTATGATAAACAAGGAAACTGATATTGCTGTAAAATGGACACTAAACTACTAAAAGTATGTGACATTATCCTGTGTTCTTCCTTAACCAGTAGCACGCATGTACTTTTCACTTCTAGCTGGTCATTATTTTCCTACTCTATACTTACCAATTTACTAAATGTTACCCAGAACTATAGAATCAAATGGTTCTCATTTTTTTGTGGTTCAGAGACATGAATGATAATTTGGTAACTATAGGAAAATGTAAATTACACTCAGGATCACAGTTATTGCTATTGCCACTGAAGTTTCTTACAAAAATATAATGGAAGTTTTCCATCAAAAATATAATATGATATTAATATACATTAGATGATAAGAACAATTGTTCCATGAATGATTCTATGAAGCTATGCATCTTAGACCTCTTGAGCTGTGAATTAGCACTGTTTCTATAGTTACTTATTTTCTTGATTGTTTTATAATTTCCATGTTTATTTTCAACATGTACAAGTGTTACTCTTCAGTGATATCCCAGAATTGTAAATCTTATTCTTTGATTTAAATACTGAAGTATATAATTAAGGTAATTGCTAAGTAGCAGCTTAAAAACCCAATTATCAGTTTGTATTTAACATCTTTAAAAGCATGATTATAAAGAACTATATTTTTTACACCTTTTTTTTTTTTAACATTTAGATTTTATAAGGGTTTTATATCTCATCTGTCCATATTGTTTTCAAAGGAATAAGGTTTTTAAGTAAGTGGAAAAGCATTTGTAGGAAATTAGGTTTGAACATAGACTAAAGTAGGTTGTTCAAGTTGTAATTGATGGCTTCCAGAATATTATTTGAAGAATGTCTCTGAATATAGGTGTGGGTCCTACTCAGTGCCATAGATAGAGTCCTCTCGTTAGGTCACCATTACATAGTAATTTTGAGTCTGAATTTCACATTAAATTATTTGAGTGTATACAGACCTAAATTTTAAAATCTGTACATATATTATTTTGGTGTATTAAGATTAATAAATATTGCTGATTTAAATTTTATTTATGCACATACTTAAGGACAGAAATGTCTGGGAGAGTAATTGTTAAATAATGATATGTAACTTTTTAACTTTTTAAATAAATAACAAGATTTGTAATGTGTGTCTCCCTCAGGGTTGTTTAAAGTTTGTTTTTTTCCCCCTCCCTCAAATATAAATAGTGGTAACTTTGTTTTGTATCTTTTAGCACCAACTGCTGTAAAGCAATGCTGCAAATAATGCTTGAATAAAAGTTGCTAAGCCAACAACAAAATAAATACTTTTTATATTAGTTTTATAATCCTTGCATTCAAAAGCTTTTCAAATTGCACTTACATTTAAACAAAACTGTTGCAGTTTTTACTGTATTTATTTTGTTTTTTCTGTTTATGAAAATACTGCACAGTTTCAAAGGCATGGTAAAATATCAGTGTTTATATATTCTGTTTCCAAAACAGCTATACATACACTATTCAGAAAAGAGCAAAATTCAAGCTTTAGAAAACATTCTACCATTTCTTGCATGTAATTTTGACATATCTGAAAATAGGCTTTTGTATATTTATGGTGGGAGGTGGTTGGGAACTTTTAACAAAATGTGGGATGTTAATTTTTGTACATTCTGTGGGTATTTACACATATTTTTTATGTATTAAAATTTGGTAATTATGTGCACATTAAATTAATAAAATAAAAACTTCCTGTTATGATTTGTTAATTCCCTAAGACTTTAGAATTTTTTTAATAAACTTTATATCAGAAATAATACTGCATCTTTATATTTTTTAAATTGTATTGCTGCTCAAGAATGGTACCCTAATGTCAAAAGGCATACATTCGTAATTGTACATTCAGCACTGTAAATAACCTTATGAAATCTTTTTTGATTGAAGCTATTCAAAATAAAAATGTAAATGAATGAAATAGCATTTCCTTTTTTTCTGTGTCTTTATACATTTGTTTGCTTCTTAGTTATATGAATACTACCCTCTCTGTATTTATTTTCCTGCTTAATATCCCCCCCCCTTTTTTTAACTTTGGATTTTTGAAGTTAATAAATACCACATTTAACATTTATGTGTTGTGACCATCCATGGAAACCTATCAGTCCCATACAATGTAGAGCCAGATGTTAAGTGTTAGGAGATCTGAGGGAAATGGTGAATTATAAGATTAGGGACTTAGTCTATTTATTAATAGTTGGGAAGATCAAACCAAAAGCTAAGATCATGTAAGAGTACGTTTGAAATGAAGTGGCATCCATGGGTACAAAAAGAGCCCTCCAGGGAGAGAAGCTGGGAGCTATCTGCTGGCCATAGAAATCCCAGAGAAGGCAGATTTGTGTTGAGTCTTTGTGCTTGGGCACCAGGTGTTTCCTGGTGTGGCAGGAGACATGCAACCTCGGCTATGGGCTGTGTGGTTTGCTGTGGTTGGATGGATTTGGGTGGTATGAAGGCTAGTTTGAGCTCAAGTTCTCCCAAGCACTATAGTTTGTATAGCAAATGATCATATCCCCACAGCCTGCTGGTGTGGGCATAGTTCTTATCTTCCCTTCTCTTCCCCCTACATCACTTCCAGTTGCTTTATTCTTAGTGTATATTGCAGGGAAGGACAGAAGGAATTCCAGGAGTTTGAGGTTGTCCCTGTTCATAGTTGGGGTTGTGGTTACTCCGCAGGTTCAGAGAAATCCCTGCTGTGTCCTGGCCTCTGAGTCTTCCTTATAGAGGAAGAAAAGCGTATCTTATCCAGGCAGACACTTGCTTTTAATGGCCAAACCCCACAGGCCAGGGTTCTGTGACTTATACAGAAGCCATTTAGGACAGCAGATTTCTGACCTGTTACATAGATTCTAGCTCCGAAGGACCTGAACACTAGAGCCATCATTGCTCAAAATAATTCTCAATACCTTGTTTATTTGTTCAGCAGATGGACTCAGTGTTCCCCTCTTGTCTGCAACTCTGTACCGTTTTTCCCTTCTTGGGGAATCAGAATGTCCTGCTGTCTTCAAAGAACAAAATTTGGAGGTCTTCTTGGGGAAAAGAAGCTTCACCAGAATTTGATTCCAAGTCTTACTTTGATTATGCCACAGTAATTCTTCCCAATCTATCACACTTGCTCCCTGGCATTTTCATTGGCAAAGGGCCTTTCACTTGGTGTGCCTGAGCATGTCTGACTCACTGCATCACCGGGATATTTGTTCTGAGCTCTAGAGTTCCTTCCTTTGATTAGAGCTCAAAGATGGGTGGCCCATGATCCCTGGTAGAGGGTGCCTTTCCCTGTGGTTTAGGACTTCATGACTTAGAAGGTAATTTCAGTCAGTTCAGCATTTACTGGACTTACATTTGGCTACATCAAAGGCTGCTTGGATTTCAGTGCATTTTCTATACCTGCAAGTGTCATGGAGCAGGGAATTCTTTCTCAACCAGGATAAAATAAGGAGTATTGCACCACTCCACTCAATGATTCCAGAGGTTAATGTTTATAATTCACAATTCAAGCCTGGACTTTCTTCAGTATGTTTCAGTACCTTTGTCCTTATGTTTTTTTTTTTTCTTCAATGATGCCATTTTCTCTTCCAAATCACTTTATTTTTATATTAAAAATTTTTTTATTTTTTTTATTTTTATTTTGGTATGTGCCCCTAGTGAGAACCAAACCTGGGACTCTCTGGTCCGCAGGCCAGTGCTCCAACTGCTGAGCCAAACCGGCCTGAGCTAAAAAAATACATGTAGAAGAAATATGTATATATCTTCCTGTCAATATGTTTTTTAAAATGTTACACAAGTAGAATCCCACTGTATATGCTGCACGGCCTTGCTTTTCTTTCATTCAGTGTATCTGAGAGAGTTATGGCAGCACTTGGAGCTCAGCTGTATTCACTTTAAAGTCTGTAATGCAGCCCACTGTGTGGATGTACCATAACTTCAACAACTTGTTCCCTGTTGCTGGTCATTTAGGTTTTTGTTAATTTTTCTGTTACAATCTTACAATAAATGTTTTTGTGTTCATATCTTTTTTAAAAGTATTTTTCTTTATTGATTTTAGAGAGCAATAGAAACATCAATGAGAGAGAACATCGATTGGCTGCCTCCTGCATGCATCCCGCTGGGGATCGGCCCACAACCTAGGCATGTGCCCTGACCGGGAATTGAACCAGTGGCCTCTTGGTGCAGTGGGTCAATCGACACTCAACCACTGAGCCACACCGGCTGGGCTGTGCACATATCTTAATGAGCATATCTATAGGCTATATTTTTATCAGTGGAACTGCTGGACAAAGAATATGTATATTTTAAATTTGGTTGATACTACTAAATTTTTCTCCAAAAAGTTTGCCCCAATTTATATATCCACCAATGTAGCAAGAAAATGTCTAGTTCTTCACACTTTATAGAACACTGCATATTTTCAGGCTTTGAACATTAAAAGGTTACTTCAGTGTGGTACTGGTGCAGGAATTATCATAGCCCAGAAACAGAGCCGCACATTGATGAGAGCCTACCTAGTTCATGACAGTGCTGACGTTGTAGCTCTGAGGGAAGAGGGATTTATATAAATAGAGTTAGGACAGCCCGTTATCCTAATGAAAAAAAAAAAAAAGACTACTCACATCTTACACAAAAATCAACTCTAGATGGATTAAAGACCTAAAAGTGAAGGACAGAACTATAAACTTAATAAGGCATTATAGAAAAGTATTTTTCTGATTTGGCAGGAAAGGAGGATTTATTTTCATAGACACAAAAATCACAAATTATAGAAGATTGATAACTTTGCCTATCATAAGACCTATGTCAAAAGACCTCATAAAGAAGGTGAAAAGCAAACCACAAACTAGTTGAAGATATTTGTAACACCTATACCCAAAGGATTAGTATCCAGAATATATAAAGAATGCCTATAATTCAGTTTTTTATAAAAGTGTTTTTAAAAGACATAAGCATACATACTTTGTACCTAGACACATAGGCGAAAGAAAACTCAGATTTCTCAAGGGGAAATGGCTCTTAAAATATGAAAAGATGCTCAAGTTCATTGTTAGGGAGATGAAAATTAAAACCACACTGATAATTGTTTTATATTAACTGCAAAGATCACATTTTTAGAAATTCCAAGTGTGGGCAGAGCTATGCAGCACAGGAACTGTTGTGCACTGCAGTGGCATCACGTATTGCTACAACTGCATTGGGAAGCAGTTTGACATTCCCAAGTTAAACTGAACATGTGAATACCCTTCAACCAACCCAGTGATACATAATTGAACATATTTTAGAAGGGTTTCAGTCTTACTATTTCTAAAAAGAAAGAAATTGAGTGGAGCATTTAAGAATAGTCTTAGCCTTATGATTCATCCAAGGAGGAAGGTGAAACTGGATTAGAGACCTGGGGCAGTGTGGTATGAAAAAGAAGCCCCAAAGAGGCTTTTCTAGCTTCACAGAATTATGTTGTGCCATTTATGGAGAAACTTCTCTCCCTCCTGCTCTTACCATTCAGCGTTGACAGTAGGACTTAGATATGGTCTCTTTCAGTTCGAAAATATTTGTCATTAAAAACCAGAATATGCCCTCTGAGATAGGGCTCTTTCTATGACTTTTATTCTGTTTAAGTCTTTATCCTGAGGATGCAGGGATGCTGCCCTTTTCCTTTGGAAAGTGCCAAGTCACAGGCAAAGCTCTAAGCCTCTCAGTTGCTTTGGGGTGCAGTAACATTTCAGGTAAGGCCAAATATTTTTAAAAATTAATATGGGCAACTGGAGGGCTTGGTTAGTCCCTGTGTGCATAAGAAATAAAATTTAGCTATAAGAAACAATTTGTGTAAAATTACATTTGGGAAACATTGTTTTGGCAGATTAGTATTAATGTGTATATTTCACAGATGATTCAATGCCATGAAAATTAATTTTCATATTTATGGCTCAGACATACTACTCTCAAATTCTAGTTCTGTGACCCTGGTTAAGTTACTTAAGCTTTACATGCCTTAGTTTCTTCATTCTTTAGGGATAATAATAGTACCTACCTCCTAGTGTTCTGTAAGGATTAAATAGATTGATTCAAATAAAATGCTGGGAACAATGCATAGCATAAGTGTTAAATATTATTACCTGCATTTTTCAGAGTGGCTAAGTGAGGGTGTTCACTATTTGGGGGGGGGGGTTGAGATGTTCATTTTTTAGTAGAGTAGTTGGTATTGCAATTAGTCCCCTCGTGACTTTTTGGTTATAGGCACCCCTGGATAAGGTATAAAGTCAAGAGCAACGCTATTTCCACAATGGGCACTGCTCTGTGATATCTGGAGCTTGAATGTGAGAATGATTATTTAATGAGTTCTCTCAATGTACACATGTTAGAGTGTTGGCTTTTCTATAGCTTTGAAAACGCTTTAATTTCAATGCTTTGTACTGAGTGTAAAATCAGTGAAACAAAAGAATGAGACCTCACAGTGTAGAATGAATGCAGCTCTTTTCACCCCTAGGGAAATCTGCACGCCTAAGAAAAGTGGGAGATTTAGTTGCAGCTGGATTACCAAACCAGTGATAATCCTGGCGAAACAATCATGCCTCTGCAAAATTAAATTCCCAGGGTTACAAGATCGAATACGAACGTTGGCTCGTGCGTGCGGCCCACGGGTTTCGGACATGCTGAGGAGCAGCCTGCTGTGCGCCGCGCTGGCGCTCCTGCGCGCCCAGCCCTTCCCCTGCCCGCCCGCGTGCAGGTGTGCGGTCCGCGACGCGGCGCAGTGCTCCGGCGGCGACGTGGCGCGCGTGGCCGCCCTCCGCCTGCCCACCAACCTCACGCACATCCTGCTTTTCCAAATGGGCCGCGGCACCTTGCAGAATCACAGCTTCAGTGGCATGACGGTCCTGCAGCGCCTGATCCTGTCAGACAGCCACGTTTCCGCCATCGCCCCCGGCACCTTCGATGACCTGATAAAACTAAAAACCCTGAGGCTGTCGCGCAACAAGATCACTCATCTCCCAGCCGCGCTCTTGGATAAGATGGTTCTCTTGGAACAGTTGTTTCTGGACCACAATGAACTCGTTTTTCTTCCCGAGAGACTCTTCACGCATCTGTGGAACCTGAGAGTGTTGGATTTATCGGGAAACAATTTGACTCACCTGCCCGAGGGACTGTTTGGAGCACAGGCTAAGCTTGAGAAACTCATGCTCCACTCGAACCAGCTCGTCTCTCTGGACTCGGGGCTACTGAGCAACCTGCGCGCCCTGACGGAGCTGCGACTCGACAAAAACCGCATCCGTTCCGTCGCGCCCGGGGTCTTCGACCGGCTCCGCAACCTGAGCTCGTTGACTCTTTCCAGAAACCAGCTCCAGTTCCTGCCTTCTGCACTCTTCCTTCATTTGCACAACTTGACCTTCTTGACGTTGTTCGAGAACCCGCTGGAGGAGCTCCCGGGGGTGCTCTTCGGGAGGATGGCCGGCTTGCGGGAGTTGAAGCTGAGCGGCACCCAGCTGCGCACCCTGCCCGACGCCGTCTTCCGCAACCTGAGCCGCTTGCAGGCGTTGGAGGTGACCCTGAGCCCGCGTCTGGGCGCGCTCCCGGAGGGCGCCTTCCGGGGCCTCGGCGAGCTCCAGGTGCTCGACCTGCAGGCCAACAGCCTGGCCTCCCTCCCCGACGGCCTGCTGCGCGGCCTCAGCCAGCTGCGGCAAGTGTCACTGAGCCACAACAGGCTGCGCGCCCTGCCCCGCGGACTCTTCCGCGACCTCCGTAGCCTGGAGGAGGTCCTGCTCGAGCACAACGAGCTGGAGACCCTGCCCGATGACGTGTTTGGAGCGCTGCCCCGGCTGACGAAGGTCCTGCTGGGGCACAATCCCTGGCGCTGTGACTGTAGCCTGCGGCCGTTCCTGGCGTGGCTGCGACAGCACCCGGGCCTCGTGAGCCGAACGGAAATGCCGCCGCGGTGCCGCCACCCAGGGCAGCCTGCTGGCCTGCTGCTGCAGGCTCTGCAGGACGGCGATCTGGGGTGCCCGAGCACTGGGGTCCCGCCTCCTCCCTCTCCCGCCCCCACCCGGCCGGCCCTGCCCTCCGCCCGAGGCCCCCCAGCCTTGGCGCCTAACAGCTCAGGACCCTGGGCGTGGGCCCAGCCGGTGGCCGAGGGCCAGCGTCAAGACCACAGCCTGTTCTGGGGTCTTTATTTGCTGCTCTTAGGCATTCAGGCTGTAATAACAGGGATCATTGTGTTTGCTATGATTAAACTCGGCTGGCTCTTTCGAAAATTAATCAGAGAGGGAGCTCTCGTCTGAGTCAAAGAAAAACCTTGCAAGTAATTAAAACGTGACCAGAGTATTGTTAATGTGGCTCTGGGAGAATCCAGACAAGCTGCAGTTGTCTTCTCTTCCCCTTCCCCTGCCGCCCTCCCCTTCCCCCTCAATCCCCTCTTTCCTCCTCCTCCTCCTCCCCCCTCCCCTTTCACAGAATGACCCTTACGTTTGTAAATTGTAACTGCTTGGCTTCATCCTGCTTCACTGCGCGGTCCTGCGGAGGTGGACTGTGTTTACCTCATCCTCGTGTGCCCCGTACCCGGTGCAGAGGGGTCTCTGCAAAGTTTACTGAGGAAGGGTGCGAATGAGCCAGCCAACGCCAGGCCAGGCCGGTTCCTGCACGTCGTCGGTGTCTGGCGCGTGTGCAGTAGATGAATAAAATGAATACACATGATCCAAGTGATGGCGACTTTTCCTGGGGGAAGGATTGATTGTCCTCTTGATCTACTGTTTGAAAAGCAGAACTCTGTCAGCTCTTCTTTCCCTTGTCTCCCCCGCCCCCTTACTTTTTGTATCTCTGTGGGTTATTTGGGAGGGCGGGACTCCATTCGCTGAGCGCGTATTTTCAGAGTAAGCCTACCCTGTGTTAGGCTGGGAGAAAGGAGCACGGGGCCTTCCCTCCCGGCGCTCAGCGCTCGGTGGGTGACGGAAGCCAGGACGCCGGGACCGTGCGGTTAGGGCTGAGTGCCCAGGAGCAGGAGGAGGAGCCGCGGGAAGGGTGGGTGGAGCAGAGATTTGAGAAAGAAGTGGGAGCTCCCCAGGAGGTCGAAGAGTGTGTGTGTGTGTCCCTTGTGTGTGCGGGTTGGGGGAGGGGACATTGATTCAGAGAGTCCCTGTGTGTGTGCATGCAAAGACTCTGAAACTGCTATGAGAGAGAAGTGTATCTTTGACACTGAGTTGGTTTTCATTTTCTGGCACTAAATGCTACCTCATTTCACAAGCATTTATGGAGCACCTAACATGTGACAGGTATTCATGAATGTAATGGCAAGCTTGGTTTCTAGTTTATTAAGGTTGATCATGTTCTCACTTATTCGTCCAAGTGAAACACAGCACAACCCCTGTTGCTTTCAATGGATGTCTGTCCTTATGAGCAGCCGTGGTTAAAACATGGGCTGGAGAGTTAACAACCATGGGTTCAAATCCCAGCTCCACCACTTACTAACTGCATAGGACTTTGGGCAAGACACTTAAATTCCCCTAAGCCTGGGTTTCCTCATCCCTGGAAAGGGATAAAGAGTACTTGCTTCAGAGAGTTGTGAGAATTAGAGGCAATAAAGCATGTGATAACAGCCCAGCGCCCTGTGAACAGTAAATGCTCAATGTTAGCTCTTATTAAAGGGCAAGCAATTACCTGTACTACTGCTGTCCTGACTTCTAAAGAAGAGCTCTGAGTTGTTTTTTCTTCTCTGGGTATATAAAGGCGAGAGCAAACTTTCTCAAACTGAAGGTTACCTTCAAACCAGTTTGTCTTCATGTGTGGGTGGTCTCGAGCCTGTGTGCCTAGGCTCTGTGCTCAGAGTCCAGAGCAATGATCCTCGGAACAACACCAACAGGACGCGGAGCAGGAATTGCTGGCTTCCTGGAATTTGGGCATTGTCAGGGCACTTCTCCTTCAAGGCCAAATTTGAACGTCTCCTGTTAAAGCCTCTCCTGGCTGCCCAGGCAGCCTACAGTGTTCCCTGCCACGAGCCCCCTCGCAGGCTCTGGGGCATGAGGCACCCTCCTCGCCCCATCTGCTCCTGGTCACCCTTCACTCTGGTATGTGTATATGTTCATGTGCCTCCTTGTCTTATTTATTTCCACAGCTCCAACTTTTGTGACCACCTGCAGCATAAAACCCAGACTTTTTTGATGCACTGCCCTCTCCAGTCCTAACCGCTGTGCTCTCAGGCGAGCGACCTTACTCTGTAAGCCTCCATTTCCTCACCGGTGGAGTGAGAATAATGATGGTCCTTGCCATGGCTGCAAGGGCAGAATGAAACAATCCAGGCCAGGTAGTTAAGTCAGTGGTGCAAGTGGGACTCAAGAGAAGTTGGCTATTATTATGATTAGCTCTTTTGAACACGCCACGTTCGAACATGTCTCATTGCCATTGCCATGTTCTTTCATTCAGCAAATATTTGTTGAGTACCTGCTCTGAACCAGGCCGTCTTCTAAGTGCGGGATAAGCAGTGGTTAAAACAAAGTACACACTTCCATTGGGTTTACATTTTGGTGTCCCCTCAATGGAAACATCTTCCCTGAACTCCTGGCCATTATCTTTAAACATTCAGAGAAGTAAGGAGAACAACTTGAACACCTGAACCCACTTTATAAAATCTGTATACTTTGCTCTATTTGCTTCAGATATATTTTTTAACTGAATAAAATACGACAGATAAAGTCGAAGGCTCCTGTTCTCATTGTTCTCCTTCTCTCCTTTGAGGTAACCTACTTAATAACTTTTTTTCACATCCCCAGGTGTGTTTTATACCTTTACTACGTGTGTCTGCAACTCTGAACAAGATGAAGTAAGGCTTTGCCTGTTTCCAAATTGTATATAAATGAGGCTGTTCTGCGTAAGCATCTTCAACTATTTCCTTCTGGGCTAACATTTTTGAGATTTATCCATATGAAGCATTTGACGCTAGTTCATTCATTTTAATAGCTGCATAATAGTCTATTGAACAAATAGACCACAATTTATCTGTCCCCTTGTTGATGGACATATTCCCAGTGTTTTCTCTCTTTTTTTAATTCTCCATTACTCTACTTCCTCCCCAACTCTTAATAATGTCAGAATTTTAAATTTCTGTCAATTTGATAGGTATGAAATGGTAACTTGTTTTATCTTTTATTTCCCTGATAACTAGTGAAGTTAAATTTATTTTTAAATGTCTATTGAGCCCTGGCCAGTTTGGCTCAGCGGTTAGAGCGTCGACCCGCAGACTGGAGAGTCTTGGGTTTGGTTCCCACTAAGGGCACATACCTCAGTTGCAGTTTGTCCCCGCCCCAGTTGGGTGGCAATCAGTCGATGTGTCTCTCTCACGTCGATGTTTCTCTCTCTCTCTTCCTCCCTCTCTCTCTCCCGCTTTATCTAAAGATAAATGCAAAAAAGTCCTCGAGTGAGGATAAAAAAAAAATGTTTATTGAACATTCAGATTTCTTCTTTTAAGAATGATCTGTGCATATACATTGACCAATTTATAACGGGGCATTTTGTCCTCTTCCTTTTGATTTGTAGGACTTTTTCACACAGCCTGGACACAAATCCTCTGTGAGTTGTATGTCTTGCAACTAACAACCCCTTTTCATTTTGTGGCTTCTTATTTTACTTTGCTTATACTGTCTTTTATAGAACAGAAGCTCTTTGATCTAGTCAAAGTTATCAATATAACTTTATGGTTGGGCTTTTACAAAATCTTGTTTAAGAAATTCTTCCTACTGTGCCCCACTGGCTCCTCTGTCTGTATCAGGGGAGCTCGGGTGGGTTTTCCTCGGAATTCCGGACCTCCCTGTTTCCAGTTGCGATGGAGAGCTGCAGGAGAAGGGAAGAGGGTATGACAACCAAGGGGGGGTGTACTTTTGACCCAGGCCAAAAGGTATGGCTTGGACCCAATCTGAAACCGATCTTATCTAAAGGGACTCAGTTACCTATACTTTAACATGTACATGAGCTAACACACTGGGGGCCTTCTACTGTAGCTTGTAAAGTGTATAGCAGATGCTTTATCTGTCCAACTATAACCCTGGAAATCCATCCCACGGGTCCCAAGGACATTTCCCACTTCCTTCAGATCCACTTAAGGTGTGGTAATTGAATTTTATCCAAATGCCACCATTGCAAAAAAATACAAATATGTGTTAGTTATGATTTGCATGATTTCCCCCTATTGGGTCGAGTCATTGCCTTACAGGACAGTGACAGACTTAACAGCAGGTAAATTATTATTGGGAAAAATTAATTCTCAACTGGGGAATTCCCTCTGAGTTACAGTAACTAAGGGACTCATTTCACTGGGCAGACAATGCAATCCACTAGTAACATTTGGCCTGTTCCACAGTATTTTCATTGTGCCTATCACCCTAGTTCTCTGGATGGGTGGAACATACAAATGGTACAATTAAAACTCAACTAGGCAAATTTTCAGGAGCTTTTAATGTCCCTTAGCCAAAAGCTCTCCTTATAGTGCTCCTCAACCTGAAATCCACTTATCTTGGTAAACACAGAGCTTTTCTCATTAAATAGTCACTGGTCACCCTATGCATCTGGATGAAGGGGCATATGAACCAATCTTACTAAAAGGAGACACTGTGCATTATTTTCAAGAACTTATTAACCGGCTTATAGGGACTGATAAATAAGTGACATTCATTTCACAGTGTGCTCCCGGCAGATAAAGACTTCAAAGACCACGACTAGGAAGAGTTTGTCCATTAGAAAAGACATTAATTAAAGACTCCAACATCGTTGGAAGGGACCTTATCAGGTGTCTAAACCATGAATAGACATCTGCTCCTGTCTCTGACATTTGCCTCCTCCTATAGCGGAAATCAGACTTCTTGAGCATGAGAAGCCGCAGAGACAGCTTTCCCAAGACGTCGACAAGGCCTGTATACCTACAAATTGATGTTGAACTTGATTTGTTTGTCTTTACGTGTCTGCTAATAATATTGGTCATAATAATAGTTATACTTCATTGGGCTTTTCTCAAACCTTGTGTATATAGCTCAACTATTTATAATTTGCCGAAGGTGTATGAGATAACTTTTGTATTATCAATATTTTTTGTGTGTGATTTCTCTTTTGAAATTTAGAAAAAAATGCTATTGCAAAAAGAAGGAAAGGGATGTGTGTGTTTAAGAGGAGTTAAAAATAAGTAGTTTGTCCTACTAAGTTATTTATTTATTTTTGTCCTAAAATAAATTTATTTTTTCTTTATTGATTTTACAGAGAGAGGAAATGAGAGGGAAAGAGAGAGAGAGAGTTAGAGAGAGAGAGAAATATCAATGAGAGAGAACATCGACTGGCTGCCTCCTGCATGCCTCTCACTGGGAATTTGGCCCAACCTGGGCATGTGCCCTGACCAAGAATTGAACCAGTGACCTCTTGGTGCATGGGCCAACACTCAACCACTGAGCCACAGTGGCCCAACAATAATGAAATTTTTAATACTGAAATTAAGTTATCTTTGTAAGGTTCATAAACCAGTTAAAATCCCTAACCAATTCTAAAGCAAGTGCCCAGAATTATATCATGAAGAATAGCTGAGCAAAGACTGACTGTCCACAATATGTCGCACTTGTTTATTTATCAAGAGAAACTGTCCCTTAGCTCAGATATTCATGTTTCATAGTCCAGGAACCCAGGCCAGTGACAAACTTCCATGGAATTCAACCCAAAGAAATTCTTTACATTCCAAGATCACTTTGCACTCTGAATGATACCAGCCTTCCTCATCTCCTCAAAATTTTTCATGGAATCAAAATTTCTGTAGAAATCAATGTATGCCTTCTTTCTTGGTTCAACCACAGCAAAATTATAGAAAGCTGCAACCCCTGGTGATATACAGATGGCTCCAACAATTGAAATCAGACGCTTGGCCAGGCCACCCATCTGAGGTTTTGTCAAAGCACTGGACGACATGGTCATTATATTCTCCTCACGCCAACATCCATCCTTCCTGAAAGATAAATGGATAACCAGTTAGTTGTTTCTAAATGAGTAAATAGAGACAAACTAAGAAGAACAAGGGACATTGTAGAAGGTTAGTGAAAAAGGAATATTGATAAAATAATTTTATATATAAATGCTAGAACCTAATTATGGGAATGTGCTTACACCTTAACCCGACAAGGACTACTAACTTTGTTCATTCAAATGGAAGATGAAATGGCTAAAACATGGCCCTCTATAACTGCTGCTGAGGCACAAGGAATTTACTCGTGAAACTCGCTGTCCTTGCCTCTGGAATTTTTAGATGGTAATCGTAATTTACAGCATTGTCTTCTTATAGCCTTGTCCCCAAATAAACCTTGAAGGTTACAGCTTCCAAGTGCACAACTAGCAGGAATCAGACTAATAATGAGTGGCACTGGAGTGTTTGCAATGGGAAGCAGACGGGCCACAGTAAATGGGAACCCACCTCATGGTCAGACTGTGAAAATGACGTGTATAGTGAGTCCTCAAACTATAAGTAAATGTTATACTAGATGCAAAATACACAAAAAATGAAACAGATAGTAAAACTTGGGTCATGATAGCTTATAGGTTAGAAATAATCTGGAGTGTTTTTCTTAATGAAGACCTGGAAGACCTGACTCTCTCTCATGGACCTGCTTTTCACTTTTGAAAAAAATTCGGCCTTGACTTCCATCAAAGGTTGCCATCTTGTCCCATCCCCAGTGGTCCATCATTCAGCAAGACTAATGCTGACATTAAGATTTCCTAGGAATGAACCCTCCTAGCTCCATGGGACCACGCTATCCAACCAAAGGTGGGTCAACAATGCACCTTCATAATATTTTAATTTTTATTTTGCTTTAAAATCTCTGCTGTATTTATAGTTGTCCTTTTTTTATCCCTAGTATTGTTTATACCACCTTCCTTTTTTCTTGATCAGTCTTGCAATATATTTATTTATTTATTTTAAAAATTTATTTATTTATTTATTTTTAATTTTTTTCTTTTTCTTTTTTTAATTTTATTTATTTATTTATTTATTTATTTATTTATTTATTTATTTTATTAATACATTTTTGTTACAGATGTTTCTCCTTTTTCCCCCCTTCCCCCTCCCTCCCTGCCCTTTCCCCAGATTGTTGTCCATGTCCACTGTTCATGCATACATGCATATAAGTTCTGTGGTTTATCTCTCCCCCACCACCCCCCTCTTTAGGGGATTGTCAGTCTGTACCCCGCTTCCTCGTCTCTGGGACTACCCCATTCCTCAGACTGTTATGTTCATTATATTCCACAAATAAGTGAGATCATATGAAACTTATCTTTCTCTGTTTGGCTTGTTTCACTTAGGATGATACTTTTAAGGTCCCTCCATGTCGTCTCAAAGGATAAGAGATCTTTCTTTCTTATAGCTGCGTAGTACTCCATTGTGTATATGTATCACAGCTTTTTGATCCATTCGCCTACTGATGGACACTTGGGCTGTTTCCAGATCTTAGCGATTGTAAATAGTGCTGCTACAACCATGGGGCTACATATATTCTTTCTGATTGGTGTTTTAGGCTTCTTAGGGTATATTCCCAGAAGTGGGATCACTGGGTCAAATGGAAGTTCAATTTTGAATTTTTTGAGGTAACACCATATTGTTTTCCATAGTGGCTGCACCAGTCTTATTTATTTATTTTTGTTACAGATGTTTTTCTCACCCCCCCCCCCCCATTGACAGCCTCCTCCCAATCCCCCAGCATTATTGTCTACATCCTTGTTTACATATACATGCGTAAAAGTTCTGTGGTTTATCTCTTCCCTTCCCCCACATCCATTTCTTCTGAGGTTTGTCAGTCTGCACCCCATTTCCATGTCTCTGGGTCTATTTTGTTCCTCAGCTTGTTTTGTTCATTATATTCCACAGAGAAGTGAGATCATGTGATATTTGTCTTTCTCTGCTTGGTTTGTTTCGTTTAGCATAATACTCTCCAGGTCCTTCCATGTCGTCTCAAAGGATAAGAGATCTCTCTTTCTTACAGCTGTATAGTATTCCATTGTGTATATGTACCACAGCTTTTTTGTCCACTCATCTATTGATGGACACTTGGGCTGTTTCCAGATCTTAGCAAATGTAAATAGTGCTGCTATGAACATAGAGGGGGTACATATATTCTTTCTGATTGGTGTTTCAGGGTTCTTAGGGTATATTCCTAGAACTGGGATCACCGGGTCAAATGGCAGTTCAATTTTTTTTTGTACGTGCCCCTAGCAGGAACTGAGCCCATAACTCTCTGGTTTACAGGCCGATGCTCCAACTGCTGAGCCAAACTGGCCAGGGATCAATTTTTCATTTTTTGAGGAAACACCATATTGTTTTCCATAGTGGCTGCACCAGTCTGCATTCCCACCAGCAGTGTACTAGAGTCCCCTTTTCTCCACACCCTTGCTAGCACTTGTTGTTTGATGATTTGTTGATGGCAGTCATTTTGGTAGGTGTGTATATTTTTTTATTTTATTAGCTTTTACTAAGAACAAACTCTGGGCTTTGTTCAACCTCTCTATTATGTTGCCTATTTCATGTATTGTCAGCTTTTATCTTTATTATTTTCTTCCTCTATTTTCCTTGAGTCTATTTAGTTGTCTTTTCCTCATGACTCCTTAGGTTGGATACCTAGCCCATTAATTTTCATTCTTTCTTCTTTTTCAGAATATAAATCTCCCCTAAGTACAGCTTGGGCAGCAATTCCAGTTTTAAGCTGTGGTATTATTGTTAATGTTAATTCTCTGTTAATGTTCAGTTCTGTATTTTTGCATTTCCATTACAACTTTTCCTTTGAGCTGAGTTACTTAGAAGTGTGCTTTATATTCCAAGTTTTTTAACCCTTTTATTATTGATTTCTAACTCAACTGTGGTCTGTATGATCCCAATTCTTTGAACATTTTTGAAATTTGTTTTATGGCCTAATGCATAGTCAATCTTGGGACAAGTTTTCTATGTGCTTGAGAAAAAAAATTTTTTAACTTGGGTTCAGCATATTATATCTCCACCAGATGAAGCTTGCTAATTGCATTGTCCAGGGCTTCTGTAAACTTACTAAGTTTTGGTTTGTTGATTAATTAATTAATTAAAAATTTGGTTGTAAATGCGTTAAGTTCCTATTGTAATTCTTTTTTTTTATTTTTTATTCTCATCTGAGGATATTTTTTCCATTGATTTTTGGATAGAGTGGAAGGGCGGGAGGGAGAGAGCAAAACACTGATGTGAGAGAGACACATCAATTGGTTGCCTCCCACAGGATCCCGGGGCTGAGAATTAAAACTGAAGCCTGTACCCTTCGAACCGAGGGCTGACGCTGCTGATTCAAACCGGCCAGGGCTCCTGTTATAATTCTATCAATTTATATGTATTTATATTTTTTATGTATTTATACATTTACATATTGTGTGTGTGTGTGTGTGTGTGTGTGTGTGTGTGTAAAATTAGCCACATAGAAATTTTGAATTTCTGGTTAATTTAATCTTTTTTTTTTATCCTTACCCGAGGACATTTTTTCATTTTTTGTTCAGACAGAGCAGGAGGGAGAGAGAGGAAGAGAGAGAGAGAAAAAAACATTGACATGAAAGGGACACGTCGAGTGGCCGCCACCTGCGCGACCCAACCAGGGCCGGGGAGAAACTGCAACCGAGGTACGTGCCCTTAGCGGGAACCGAACCTGGATCTCTCTGGACCACAGGCCGACGCTCTAACCGCTGAGCCAAACTGGCCAGGGCTAATTTAATCTTTTATAAGGTTATTTCTGTAGTGTTTTTTTTTATTTTTTTATTTAAGGTTTTAGTGTTATGTAAGGTTTTATTTTTAAGTTATATTATTCAGTGTCATTCTTTAATCCTGTAATGTTTTCTTTTTAAAAGTCTATTTTATGTGTTTGTTTTGCATCCACACCAGCTTTCTTTTGGTTAGTATCTACCTAGTATATATTTTCCATTCTTTAGTTTCACCTTTTTTCTTTAGTTTTACTTAGGTGTATCTATTGTAAGCAGCATAAATATGGATTTTTCTAAAATTTATTTTAATAGCATCTTTCTGTTAATAACTGAAATTGACCTGCTTCTGTTTATTGTAGCTGGTTACTGCTGTATTCTTACTTCAAAGTTATTGTTTGTTTTCTATTTTCCATGTTCTTTCTTTGCTTCCCCCACTTCTTTCATGCCCTCTGGTGGACTGGTAAGTTCATATTACTCGCTCTCATATATGCTGGGTTTTGTTGTTGTTATTCTTTCAGTGGTTATGTTTGATGTTTTTATTTCAAAATTTAAATTTACTTTTTAAAATTGATTTTGAGAGAGAGAGGAAGGGAGAGGGAGAGAAATAGAGACAACAATGAGAGAGAACAGTTGGCCGCCTCCTGCTGCCCCCCTCTGGGGATTTGGCCAACAACCTGGGCATGTGCCCTGACAGGGAATTGAACCAGCGACGTCTTGGTGCATGGGTCGACACTCAACCACTGAGCCATAACAGCTGGGCATGGTTCTCTTTTTTAAACATGCATACAAAACTATACTTTTTTCTAACCAGTTTTAAAGGATTCAATCTTCTTTTCTATTTCTAAACATGGCATGGATTTTACTGTCTTAACTGTCCAGTGAACACAGACTACCATCCTCAGTATCTTGTTATCTAATTTTTGGTTTGACCTTTTAAAATTTGTTTTTAAAATTTTTTTGTAATGAAATTTAATTGATTGATATATTATGCTTATTTATATTAGGTTGAATCATATACAATTTCTAGTATTCAACTATTTTGACTTAAAAAACAACAGTTTCATGTGATTCAACCTTAAAGGCCTAGCACCATATATAGTTCTTCTACTTTAAATTTCACCTTATGTCTAGTTCCATTAACGTAATGGTCTCTATTAACACCTTGCTCTGTAAGTTGACATCGGTGCTCTTATTTGTCCTAAGCTCTCCTT